GTGGAAGCTGCACTGCCTCATTACAAATAAAAATAATAAAATTGGGATCAGATGTTTTATGCTTCAGCTTTTAACATTATATTGTGAACATTTTCTTGTCATTAACATTTTAATGATTTTAATGTTTGCATAAGATTCTACTACCTGGTTTTAATATAATTTATCCATCTACTTTTCAAGTTTTCATTTTTAGAGATATCTGCAGTGATCATTTTTGGACTTAACTTTCTGCATTCATTTCTAATTATTTTTTAGTTACTGTCTTCTTGGGTTTCCTTTATTGAGGCACTTAGAAAATATAGCTGGCAGTTCCACTTCTAGTGGTTTACATTCAAGCTGCAAGTCTTTATTCATTTGAGACCTGATACATGATTTAAGGGTGAAAAGCACTTTGGGTCCCTGGAGAATGTACACGAGCCTAACACTACTTAAGTAATTGGACAAAAGTTGGATTTACTTACATATGGAAATAATCATTGTCAAGACAAGGAAAAATATGTTACAGCACAGGAACAGTTTGTACATGACATACAAAAGCAGACAAAACCCAAATACAAGTAAGTGAGCACTAATTGAAGGAGAACATAAATAAGTCATTCTGTCTCCTATATTGAGATTAGCTGTGGCCATTATGTAACCGGCTCCTGGCAAGTCTCACCACCTTCCTGGTTCTCATTTGTGGGGATATTTCATTTTTGCTCAAAATTGATGATTGGGCGATTTCCATTTTTTTCTCTTTTGGGAACATCCTCTTACTCTATGTTCTTGGGGCTTTAACTTGTATTTGACCTTTTCTGTCTGACCATGTTTAGTAGCTACAATGGTAGTCCTATTCCCAACCCCTTTGTACAGATTTAAGTCCTGATGGATCACTCCTCTGTATTTACTTCATCTTTGCTATGCCAAATTCCCATCCAGCCATGAGGTTTTACGTAATAATACAGAAAAGACCCATTGGCACACAAACCTTCTATTAGGAAAATCTTACCCTTTGCTTGCAGAGCACAGGATGAGTCATTTGTGATGAGGAAGAAGCTTACCATCTCATCTTTGTGTTCTGTCCATCCACCTTTATCTGGATGGCCTCAAAGAGCTAGAGCATGTGAAGGTGTCCTTGGCCACAGGCCTTGTGGTTTGGGGTAGATATGATTTGTACCAAGAACAATTGAGCACAGCTAGGCATAGAAATGAGGATCTACTTTGGAGGAGTGGGAGGACACACCAAACCAAGAGCTAGAACTCTGTTGTCAGACCCATATGAAGTGTTACAGAGACTGAGCAGGGGAGAACAGAAATTCATCAGACTGTCAGAACTCAGGCAGGCAAATGGAAAAATGGGACAAACTAGTGCCAGAGCTGAATAAGAGGAGGAGGACCAGACTGCTGGAGCAGCTAACATTGCGTAGGAACTTGCAGCATAACAAATTTGAAATCAGCTTCATAGTCCACCCAGTGACCTTGCTTATTTCTGATAATGACAGAATACCTCCTGCCCAAGACTTGAAGTTTTATTCTTTCTTGCTTCCCTTCACCTTTGTATATGGTTAGTTACTGTATCCCTAAGGATTCTGTCTCCATATGGAAACGCCTTATTGTTCAAGTCTTGTCTCTGCCACAAATAGCGCCTAAGATGAAGACACTTAACCTCTCTCGCCAATGTGCAAGTGACAGTCTCACAGGCTGTCATGAGAATTAGAGATGAAGTGGATAAAACCATATTGTTCTGAACAGGAGTCTCCAGAGGGAGTTCCTACTGCCATTTTAACCTCCCTTTCCCTGCCAGTTTGAGCTTCCTAATGACATAGACCACAACATATCCTGTCTCAAAAACCTTTAAGGGGCTGGGCACAATGACTCATGCCTATACTCTGGAGGCAGAAATCAGGAAAATCAACATTCAGGTCAGCCTGGGCAAAAAGTTACCAAGATCCCGTCTCAAAAAACAAGCCAGGCACACTCCTGTAATCGCAGCTATGAGGGAGTAGTAGGTAGGAGGATTGCAGTCCAAGGCTGACAAAAAGCTCAAGACCCTATCTGAAAAACAGAGCAAAAAAAACCCAAAAGGGCTAGAGATTCAGTTTAATGGTATAGTGCCCACCTAGCAAGCAGAAAGCCCTGATTTCTACACTAGTTCTTAGGGGAAAAAAAGGCAGGTCAGTTGGAATAAAGAGAAGGAAAGCACTTATACAACATTGGCTTACAAAATCTGAAAAATGGATAATGTTTTGACACTAATGGTCCTTATTGATGTATGAAGAAGAGAACTAATTTAAGTGACTGTTATATGCCAGGTACCAATGTAGGTGTTTCATGCATATTTGCTTGTTTGAACTTTGATCAGTTGGCTTTCTTCCCTTCTACAACATTCTCCAGTGCCTTCTTGCTACACTTAGAATAAAATTCAAACCCCACAAGTCCCACAGGATCCTTAAATCTGGCCCATATTTCCTCACACTACCTCCTCATCTTTCAATCTTCTTTTTACCCTTAGATTTCCATTGCTGTGAGAAATTATCTCAGAAAATTAGAGGAGGAAAAGATTATTTGGTCCAGCGTTTTGAGCCTATGGTAAAGCAGAGCACCATGGCAGCAGAAGTGTTTGGTGAAAGAGGTTGCTAACTTTATGGTGGCCAGGAAGCGGGGGTTAGGAGGGAAGGTAAGGAGAGAAAGAGAAGAGAAGAAAAAGAAAAATGCCGGGGGTGGGGGGGGAAATACTTCCAATAACCTGCTCCCTCAACTAGGCTCTACTTCCACTTAGGGACCATGTGCTCCGAGCCCTCATGATCCAGTGACTGTCATAGGACCCACCTCTGAATGCTGCTTGATTGGGGATCATACCTTCTCTACATGAGCTTTTGGGGGACATTTCATACCCAGGTCCTAACACCTCCCTCCTTTAAAGCTTCACCTGTGAGCCCCAAAAAGGTAATATCCTTGCTAAGCACCATGCTGCCAACCATGGAACTAACCTGTGTCCCCTTTAAGCCTTAAATGGGTTCTGAACAGTTTTCTTCAGAGTTTGCTAACCACACCCTCTTCAAAGTATGCTCTGAAGTATCTTGGATATTTGGAGAGAAATAAAAAATGGTAAGAACTGGAGGAGTGGCTCAAGCAGTAAGAGTGCCTAGCAAGCATGAGGTTCTGAGTTCAAATCTCAGGACCACAAAAAAGGGTAGTTCTGTGGGAGAGTGACTGACTTCTCACTATATACCAATTGTACTATCTATTTAAAGTAGTGATTCTGGGAAACTGCTATTTTTATATATATTAACAAATCATGCTATATTAGACAACTTGGAAAGTAGAGGAAGGAAACAAATTCCAAATTATACAGCAAACCTAAAATAAGCACGTGAGATTATCACTTGAATTTACTTGGCAATTCTCAGGGCCTGCACTGACTAAGCACTGCCACTTGAGCCACACCCTCAGCCCTGACATTGCCATTTTAAAATGAGTTCTGGAGTGGATGTTTTACCATAGAACCCAACTCTCCATATGAACCTCTTCTGCAAGTAGGTATTTTCAAGTACAATTTTGTAGTAGGTCAGATGTTTGCCTTTGGTTAATGTTGTTAGTAAAAGGCTTTTTCCATGTATAAGGAGGTTATTCATCTTTTCTCTCCATTTTGAGAAGAGTAAAACATAGAGTGCAATCATAAGTTTCTGAACTTAGAGAAGTCAGCCTCAGTTTGTGCCTCACCTAAACTCTGAAATGCTTGCTTGTTCCCCATGCCCTATCAGAGTTGTACTTCACTTGAGTATTTCTCAGCAAGGATAGTTAGGAGGAATACAGAAAGTAGAAACACAGGTTGGTTTTTTTTTTTTTTTGCAGTACTGGGTATGTAACCCAGGGCTTTATGCTTGCCACATGAGCCATGCCCCAGTCCTTTTGCTTTTAGTTTGTCATATAGGGTTTTATGCTTTTGCCCAGGGCTGGCCTTGAACCTTGACCTCCCTACTTCTACATGCTGAGTATCTGAGACCACATGTGGATACCACTGCACCAACTTGTTTGTGTTTGAGATAGGGTCTCTGTCTCCCAAGTAGCAGGGATTACAGGCATGCAGTATCACAGCTGGCAAATGGTCAGGATTTTGCAGTTGGTTGAAAGTGGGCGATGGGGAAAATGGTGAGTCCAGAGATAATCAAGTTACAAAAAGAGTAGACTTTAGAGAGGTTAAGATGGAATTTAAATTCCATCTTTACAGTTTGTTGTCTGATCTTGGGCAATGTTCTTAACCTCAGTTTTCTTTTCTGTAAAATGGGGGTCGTTTAGCACCTACTTTATTAGGTTACTGCAAGGCTCGAGATAGAGAATCTATATAAAGTAGGTGCCTGAGTGTTGTCCATTCTGAATTATGAATGGCGATACTTGGTTTTAAGATAGCAGAAAAGGAAATCAGAGGTGGGAGATGTTAAGGAAAATCACTTACTTTGCACATGGGTGGACTGAATTTGAAGCAGCTGAAGGCACTTTCTTTACTCAGCACTCCTGAAGACAGATGTGGTCCTGTGCTACCCAGAGTCTAGTGTGCTGCTGCAGGAATGAGGATCCCCACTGCTGAGTAGCTTAGCATGCATTCTTGAAACTGTTTTCTGGATGGTCTCAAAGCTTCCATGGTTTGATCCTGTGAAAAATGTGTGAAAACTGGAAAAATCTGCATTGCCTGTTCTTACTTAGTTCATCACTGTACACTTGGCTGACCGGAGAGTTTCTGTGCTTTTTTCTAGCCAGTGCCATTAGGGCCTGTGTTATGCTAGTTGCTCACTGCTCAGGATGCCTGGTTTGGAGTAGGGTGAGGAACCAGGTGAAATCCTTCCCTGTGCCCTTTGCCGCAGCTGAGTGGGCTGGTTATGTCTCTGCCTTGGGAACCTTTACCTATTCCCTCACTGGGTGGAGCCTAGTGTTGACAGTGAAACTTCACATTACCACTTAAGTTTCTATTATGAGGATCATATACTAGGGTTCCTTACATTTTTTTTTTTTCCTCATTGCAGATCATCAATGCTGTGGTATTGTTGATTTTACTGAGCGCCCTGGCTGATCGAGATCAGTACCACTTTTCAAGTTCTGAACTAGGAGGGGACTTTGAATTAATGGATGATGCCAGTAAGTACATCACATAATAGTTGTAGGTATTTTGGGATTTTGAAGAGCAGGGACTTTGACTGCCTGTCCTTCCTATTAGATTACAGATATTGATTCACCAGCCCATTTGAGCTGATGTTTTAACTTTCCTTTCTCTTTCCATCATTGCAAATCAAATCAACAAATACTTATGCTCTGCCTGTGTTCTGCCTCTGTTCTAAGTTTGAGAGTCTAAATAAGATCTCTTTTTCCCATATTACATTAATTTGTTCATTTTTAAAGTTAATACTTTGTCATAGATCTTTTACCCACAGCCCTTTCACCTTTTTGGAAGGAGAAGGAATAAATGAGAAGGAAGATGAAAAGGAGTGTGCGTATCTCATTGTATATCCTGATATATTCTAGAACTTATCTTTCTTCCAGGAGGTGAAATCTCTAGAATGGAGATTCTAGAGATCCTGTTGTTTGGTAAATTTGGAGCCTTTTTCCAGTAAGTGGAAATAGGCGCAGGGTTATGGATGTTGGGTTAGTGGAGGAGAGGAGGCACCCAACCCTGAGTGTTCACAACTTGAACCTTAGCCCAAATTAAGTGAGGGGCAGTGCTAGATACATAAATCCCAACAGAAGGTCATGAAAATTTTTTTCTTGATGGCTCTGGGGACCTTCACATGACTGAAAGAAAGCATTGGAAAGCAAACTAAGGTGGAATAGTGGCTCAGAGTGTAAAGATAGACCACAAGCGTTCCAAAGACAAGTGAGGTTCATGAGAAAAGGCTGGTCAGTACTTTTAAGTAAATGCATGAGTGTCTTAAGATCCCTTTTATTGTTGAGTGTGCAGTGTATCTGGGGACTGGCTTTGAGCATGGAGCTTGGGAGACTCGTCTTGGGGATGCTTCTCTATGATTTAGGCTGCACTAAGAATGGAGGAGAGAGACTGAGTTTGTACACAACTCGGTGGTGTGGGCAGCAAGGGAAAGGGAAGAATTAAAGATGACTTTTACTCTTTAGCTTCAGTAGATGACCTGCATTTTCATAGAGGCAAGAAAGGCTGGAGTCAGGAGATGAGAACACCCTTGAAGTAAAGTAGACTTTGACTTACGTGACTTAGCTAAGCATCCTTATTGTATATGTAGGGACTGAAGCCAGAAGGGCTCAGTTTTTTTTTATTGTCTATATATTTTTTATTTATTAACATATAATAGTTTGTATAGGGGTATTCATTGTGACATTTACTTATATAAAATACTACATATTTTGTTTTGTTTTTGGTGGGATTGGGGTTTGAACTCAGGGCTTCCTACTTGCAAAGCAGGCTGTCTACTGCTTGAGTCATACCTCCAGTCCATTTTGCCCTGGTTATTTTGGAGATGGGGGTCTTGCAAACTGAGCTGGCTTTGAACTTGGATCCTCCCGATCTCAGCATCTCAAGTAGCTAGGATTACAGGTGTGAGCCTCTGGTGCCTTATTAGCACATTTCATTATTCCTCATCCTTCCTACCCCCTTCTTAGAACAATTTCAACAGATTTCGTTGTTCTGTTTTCATACATAATTATACAAAATACATCCACCATATTTGCCTTCCTTTACTGTCGTTTACCCTACCCTCTCCTGCTGGTATTCACCCCTGGACAGACCTGTTTTACTTTCCTGTCCTTTTTTTTTTTTTTTTTAAAGTATATGTTGATTGTTCAAGGAGGGTTTGCCTTGGTATCACACATGTGTATATTGTACTTTAATCTGATTAACTGCACCCCTCCCCCATTATTTACTCCCAGAAGAGCTCAGTTTGAATCCCTCCATGTGTGAAATGTGCTAATCTTGAGCTAGTTACTGGCCTCTTTTTTTTTTTTTCGTTTGTCTTAGATTCCTCCTTTGAAAGACAGAGATGATTATAGTATTTGCTAACCTTGCAGGGTTGTTGTGGGATTTAAATGAGTTAGTTCATAAAAATGCTTAGAATGGGGTTTGACCTATAGAAAATGCTCAGTATATCTCACTGTCTTGAGGTAGAGAAATCAGAAAGGTAGTCTGGACTGAGATATACATTTGAAGACATCAGCCTAAGAGTAGCATTTGTGTTAGAGAAAGAGGAAGGAGTTCCAGGACTGAGCCCTGGGGGTCCTAACTATAAGAGATCAGGAGGAAGAGCCAGACAGCAATCAATTAGTAATGAAGTAAATGAAAACAGGAAACACTTTATATCACTTTAGTTTTCTGTCTGTCATCTTCCATCACCATTGTTAAATAGTAAGGATTAAGAAGTCAGGAGTATGTTATCCTGGGCTTTGGGACCTTGTCAGATACAGTTGTCACTTCTGTAACATTTTTTAATTTCTCCAGAAAGAATAATACGTTCTTTAATCTTGAAATTAATTCCTTTCATGTTTAAAAAGACTACAAACTACACATAAAGTATGTGATTGACATTTAAAAATAAATTTTCTCTCACTATTTCTAGTAGCTGGATTTCTTTTCTAAGGTAAATGAGGGTAGAAAAAGAAGTTTAAAATAATACCATTGGTTCCGTCTGGATTGAATGACCCCAGTGTGTGCCTTGTTCCGTTGCCAGAGATTCAGCTGGGTAATCACTATCTGACAGGATAGGCTTAATTTAGCTGCCTTCAAAAGCTTGCTTGTGCTTAAAACTTTAAAATAGTAATTGCTTTTCCAATGTCCTGGATATTAATTCCAGTGCATTTGACGTTTCTCTCATGTGTCATATATTTGGAAAGATTGAATGAATAGTTTGTAATTACTTTTAAGACTGTCATTTATAGCACATAGTTAAGAAGGTACAGAAGATACTTGGGTGGATTGTTTAAAAAACCTCTTCCTTTTTACATTTCCTTTCCATGAGTTTTGATCTTCTTTCTTTAATAAGTTTGTGGTTCAAAAGTCATAGTATCAGACAAGTCTTTAAGATTTAATGCAGATGTTAGTAGAATTAAATGTCCTTGAGGTTGGTACAATCACTTTAAATTATGCTTGAAAATTATGCAAGTTAATGTAACAGTTTTATGTTGCCATCTTTTTGAGTGGTAGCAGCTGGATGACAATACTATCCAGGATTGTCATGTGATGTTTTTGTGAAATGATTGAGTGGAAGAAAGCCAAATTCCTATTTACATCAAAATGGGTTATACAGGAGCCTTTTATAGAAGAATCCGCTGGAATAAAGAAAATAGCTGGCCACTGGTGGCTAATGTCTATAACTCTAGCTGCTCTGGAGATGGAGATTGGGAGGACTGAGGTTCAAGGCCAGTCTGGACAAAAAAGTTCCCAAACCCCATCTTAACCAGTACCTAGATGCAGTGGCATGCACCTGCCATCCCAGCTACTCAGGAAGCCAACATGGGGAAGATCACAGTTCTAGGCCACTTTAGGCAAAAGAGTTTGTAAGACCCCATCTCAGTGGGAAAAAAAGCTGGGGTTAGTGGCATGTGCCTGCTATCCCAGCTATGATGGGAATCATGAAACAGAAGGGAGGATTGATGTCCAGGCCGGCATGGGCAAAAAGTGATACCCTATCTCAAAAATAGTCTGAGAGAAAAGGGCTAGAGGCATGGCTGAAGCAGTAGAGTGCTTGCCAGCAAGTGCGAAGCCCTGAGTTCAAACCCCAGTACCACCAAAAAAGAAAGAAAATACAGGAATTTCTCTTCACTATTAAATTTAGCCCTTTAATATTTCTGTTATAGAAATATTAGAAATGATGCATGTTTGTAATGAATAATTCTTTTTAGGTTATTAAAACATTAACTGTACTAGGAATGATAAGGAACTGACAGATTCAAAGCTAATGAAGCACACATGGAATCCTGGATTAGATTCTGGAACATAACAAGGACATTGAGGGGATAGCAGGTGAAATTCAAATAAAGTGTATAGTTTAATAGCACATTACCCATGTTAATTTCCTGGTTTCAATTACTACACTAGGGTTAGATTTTTAACATTAGAAGGATTACGTGAATTCTCTATCTTTAGCTACACACACACACACACACACACAAATGAAATCAAAATAAAAAGTTAAAGAAAATTTGTCTTCAGACTTAGAAGACCAGAGGGTAATGATTGCAAAGCATGTATATATGGTGTATTATATTATACACTGTCTTACTCTCTAACAAGTAGACTTTTAGAGTTTTATTTGTGAAATTTTAATGGATTGGCAAAGATTGGTAACAGTAAGGATCAGTTTGGTGTACAGTACTAAACACCAGATCATCCAAATGAATATTTGATTAATTTTGCAGAAGATTTGTCTTTGTAGTCAAACTTTGTATCCACTGAGTAGACACACTTGGCTCAAGGAAGGAAATTACCAAAAAAGTAATCGAAAATTAGTAGCCACTTACATATGGTCACCTGATTTAGGATAAAGACATCACTACATTTATTGGGGAAAGGATGGTCTTTCCAATAGTGGTTTGAGGTGAAATCAATAGGAGGAAGATAGATACCTCACAAGAGAAGATAGTAAATAAGATTATTCTCCATTATTAGTTAGACGGGATATACAGATTATAGTCACAGTGAGTCACTGATCCAGTTCAAAATGGCCAGCAGAAACAGAGCTAACTATACCACTTGTTGGTGTCGATGTGGAGTAACTGGAATTTCCAAATTGCTGCTGGGAATGTAAATTGCACAACCGCTTTGGGAAAACTAAAGCTAGGTAAATACATACTAACCTTGTGACCCAGTAGTTTCATTCCTAGATAGATTCCCAACAGAAATGAGTACTTGTGTCCATTTTAAGTCTTGATAACTTTATTTATAATAGCCAGAAATTGGGCTGGAGGTGTAGCTCAAGTGATAATGTCCTTGCCTAATATGTGCAAGGTCCTGGGTTCAAACCCCGTAACTGCCAAAACAAAACAAAAGGCCAAAATTGGAAGCAGTCCAGATTTCTGCCACTGATAGAATGGACAGAAACAAAACATTACAGGTGAAATGAGTGATGGAAATTCATTATATACTTCTATTAAATGTTTGAAAGTTTTTTGGCTTTTCTTTT